CTATTAATCATGTCCAGTAAAAAAATTTTAAACGTCAAATTTGTCATAAATTTAGGCCAAAATGTATTCTGCTACATTTGTTTGCTAAAAAAAATCCCAATACGTGTAAATTAATTGGTTTACGTGAAAGTTATAGTGTTTACAAGAGGCGGTATATATACTGTAATTGTTTTCTTTACTAGTAATGGCGGCGATCAGCAACTTATAGCAGAAGTGCGGCAGGCATTCTGACACTTAGGGGAACTGACTTGGTGTCACTGACATCCCCAGTGACACCAATAGTGATCAGTGTTAAAAAAAAAAGCACTGACACTGTACTAATTGCACTGGGCAAGAAGGGGTTAACATGAGGGGCGATCAAAGGGTTAACTGTGTGCTGGGAGTGTTTTACTGGGGGGCAGTGTGTTGGTGCTTCACTGTAAGCACACTGCTCTAGATGGCTGTACTGTGCAGACCCATCCAGAGCAGTGTGACCGAGCTGACAGGGAAGAGGACTGTTAGTAAACAAAGAAGCCTGGTAATCACTGGCCATGATCCGGTGATTGAGAGCTGTGGTCGCGAATGGCAGCACGGGTAGGGTGCCCCTACCCGGAACTACAAAATCACCAATTCATGCAAAACTCCACGTAATCCCAAGGGGTTCACATACGTTTTCTTGCAACTGTATATGTGATTTTGCGCACCCCTGCTGCCCTGTAGCAGTATTTCTGCTATAGGGCAGTGGGGAAGCCGTTAAGGTGTTTAAAGCTTACCTTTAGAGATCTGTATGAATTATGTTCAGGACTAAAAAAGGAAAAAAACACAAAGTTTGAAGTCACCTGAATTCTATGCATAATAGCATTTATAAGAGAAGAACGTGGATGCAAGTAGAAGGAGTTTGCATTTCTCCAAGGTTATTTTCATATGTGTGTTGAAACTATAGTGGAAGCCAGTGTGGCTGTGAATGGTGTTATTAAGACTGCTGGGCGTCCTGTTAGTCTAATTAGGTTTAACTATGTTACCTTTGTGATTATTCTTTATAGAGAAAAGAACTGCCATCAGATTGTCTCTTAATCCTTGGGAAAGAAACATGTTATGTTGGCCTGTGCAGAGAGACTTTGTGATGGCAGCCCTGGATGTAAAAATCCATTCTTTTGTAGGGCTGGACACAATATAAATTTTTCCTCTGCAAGTGGGACTCAAACTATGTAGAAAGTGTTCAACGGGATGGAAATTCTGCCTCTTTTTTATTTGACTCTAGAAATGCAATGAGGCTAGTTGAGGACAGTTTGAAAAGTGAATTAATGTTTGAACTCTTGCTTCCTCTACAAAAGCTCACCACTGAGGCCGTCTACACCAGGACGCAGTGAAAGCAAGACTGCTATTAATATACAGTGTAAAACATATCAGAAGAAGACAGGTTTACTTTAATGATATGTATTCAGCTGCCTTTACAAGCCATTGTATTTATGTCATATGACAGAATAAAAGCAAGATGTAAAGTGTTCTTGGCAGCCAAACAAAATGCTAAATAGACGACAGTTGTATCTTAACACCAAAAGGAACAAAGCTGTCACAAAAAGCAGACTCATCCAACAAACTGTTCTGTGCTGTACTGATAGATCACATGGTGTAATGAACAAAAAAACTGTACATCTTGCATAGAGCAGAAAAAAAGAAGCTACCCATTCACACGTTACTAGATTATCGTTGTTATTATACAGTATTTCTTTGCCTTGATTTGTCTTCATAAAGCATATCCACACAATAATTATTGGTGAAATTTCATTCTAAAGTGAGTATGAAAGTAGTGCTTCTTTTATTATTTACATATAGTTATTATTATTATCCAGGATTTATATAGCGCCAACAGTTTGCTCAGGGCTTTACAATATAACTGGAGACAATACAGCAATGTTACAGTTCAATACAAGAGGGTTATAAGGGCTCCTTTGAGCTTACAATATAAGAGGGAGGGGAAGAAACTACAGGAAATGATAGGAAATCTATTTAGAATTACAGGAGTATACTCCTTTAGATAACTGACAAAGCTAAACAAAAAAAAAGCTAGCAGGGATTCTAACCCTTTCCTACTCTACAACAGGAAGGTAAGGCTATAGATAGATTTTTAAAATGTGTACTGCAGAGTAATGTAAAATATTTCAATTAATTTTAGTGAACACAAACACAATATAATGCCCAATTTTTTGGTAAAACATAAAAGATGATGTTACGCCGAGTAAATAGAAACTGAACATGTCACGCTTTAAAATTGTGTACACCTGTGGAATGGCGCCAAACTACGGTACCTAAAAGTCTCTATAAGCAACACTTTAAAAACCTTTATAGGATACACAGGGGATCTGGTGCTAGAATTATTTCTCTCACTCTGATGCTTACGACAATACCTCACATGTGTGGTGCGATCACGATTTACATATACGTTACTTATTTTAGTAAAGACTAAAATAATGAACAACATTCCTTTTGATAGCAGGGGCTGTGACAGGTACTCTTTTTAGAGAGAGCTGGGGTCTAGTAGACCCCAGATCTCTCCTCTGGTCCCCAATACAGCTGTTCAAACATCTGATCACCTGCTGTCAGGGCTCCGGGTATGACCAGAGGTATGTGAACTGACGCAGGGAAACGCAGGCTTCAGATATGTTATAAACAATATCATTTATTAATACTAACAATACAAACGCAGTGCAATACTAAAACATAAAACACAGTGCAAACGAACCAAACCAAACCACCCACAGATAACAATACATACAATGCAAGCGTAGTCAGGCAGGCCTGGCAAGTCCATTCCTGACAGTAACCCCCCTCAAGGAGCGGCCTCAGGATGCTCCAAACAGTCCTAGCTGGGCAAAATGTTCCACCGCCTGGGTCTGATAACTGGCGGGATATCAAAGACTGGCACATCGGGCTGGACTCCGGGCAGCGGCACATCGGGCTGGGGGACTCCGGGCAGAGGCACATCGGGCTGGACTCCGGGCAGAGGCACATCGGGCTGGACTCCGGGCAGAGGCACATCGGGCTGGACTCCGGGCAGCGGCACATCGGGCTGGACTCCGGGCAGCGGCACATCGGGCTGGACTCCGGGCAGAGGCACATCGGGCTGGACTCCGGGCAGAGGCACATCGGGCTGGACTCCGGGCAGAGGCACATCGGGCTGGACTCCGGGCAGAGGCACATCGGGCTGGACTCCGGGCAGAGGCACATCGGGCTGGACTCCGGGCAGAGGCACATCGGGCTGGACTCCGGATCACCAGGCGGGGCAGCAGGCACCGGGCCCCCAGGCGAAGCGACAGGCACCGGGCCCCCAGGAGGAGCGGCAGGCACAGGGCCCCCAGGAGGAGTGGCAGGCGCCGGGCCCCCAGGAGGGGCGGTGGGCACCGGGCCCCCGGGCGGAGCGACAGGCATCGAGCCCCCGGGCGGAGCGGCGGGCACCGGACCCCCAGGAGGGGCGGCAGGCACCGGGCCCCCAGGCGGAGCGGCGGGCACCGGGTCATCAGGCACAACAGCGGGCATCGGGTCACCAGGCATCAGGTCATTTGGCTTGCCAGCGGGCACCGTGTCATCTGGCAAGGCAGTGGGCACCGAGTCACCAGGCACGACAGTGGGTTCCGAGTCAACTGGCATGACCGCGGGCACTGGATCAGACATTGGATCGTCTGGCTCGACAGCGGGCATCGGGTCACCAGGCATCAGGTCATTTGGCTCGACAGCGGGCACCGCGTCATCTGGCAAGGCAGTGGGCACCGAGTCACCAGGCACGACAGTGGGCTCTGAGTCAATTGGTACGACAGCGGGCACAAGGTCATCAGGTACCGGATCGTCTGGCTCGACAGCAGGCACCGGGTCATCTGGCGCTGGATCATCTGGCTCGACAGCGGGCATCGGGTCACCAGGCATGACAGCGGGCACTGGGTCATCAGGCATTGGATTGTCTGGCTCGACAGCGGGCATCGGGTCACCAGGTATGACAGCGGGCACTGGGTCACCAGGCATCAGGTCACTTGGCTCACCAGCGGGCACCGCGTCATCTGGCAAGGCAGTGGGCACCGAGTCACCAGGCACGACAGTGGGCTCCGAGTCAACTGGCATGACCGCGGGCACTGGGTCAGACATTGGATCGTCTGGCTCGACAGCGGGCATCGGGTCACCAGGCATCAGGTCATTTGGCTCGACAGCGGGCACCGCATCATCTGGCAAGGCAGTGGGCACCGAGTCACCAGGCACGACAGTGGGCTTTGAGTCAATTGGCACGACAGCGGGCACCGGGTCATCAGGTACCGGATCGTCTGGCTCGACAGCAGGCACTGGGTCATCTGGCGCTGGATCGTCTGGCTCGACAGCGGGCATCGGGTCACCAGGCATGACAGCGGGCACTGGGTCATCAGGTACCGGATCGTCTGGATCGACAGCGGGCACCGGGTCATCTGGCGTTGGATCGTCTGGCTCGACAGCGGGCATCGGGTCACCAGGCATGATAGCGGGCATTGGGTCATCAGGTACCGGATCGTCTGGATCGACAGCGGGCATTGGGCCATCAGGCATTGGATTGTCTGGCTCAACAGCAGGCACCGGGTCACCAGGCATGACAGCGGGCACTGGGTCATCAGGCATTGGATCGTCTGGCTCGACAGCGGGCATCGGGTCACCAGGTATGACAGCGGGCACTGGGTCATCAGGTACCGGATCGTCTGGCTCGACAGCGGGCATCGGGTCACCAGGTATGACAGCGGGCACCGGGTCATCAGGTACCGGATCGTCTGGATCGACAGCGGGCACCGGGTCATCTGGCGTTGGATCGTCTGGCTCGACAGCGGGCATGGGGTCACCAGGCATGACAGCGGGCACTGGGTCATCAGATACCGGATCGTCTGGATCGACAGCGGGCACCGGGTCATCTGGCGTTGGATCGTCTGGCTCGACAGCGGGCATCGGGTCACCAGGCATGACAGCGGGCACCAGGTCATCAGGTACCGGATCGTCTGGATCGACAGCGGGAACCGGGTCATCTGGCGTTGGATCGTCTGGCTCGACAGCGGGCATCGGGTCACCAGGCATGACAGCGGGCACTGGGTCATCAAGTACCGGATCGTCTGGATCGACAGCGGGCATCGGGTCATCAGGCATAGGATCGTCTGACTCGACAGCAGGCACCGGGTCACCAGGCATGACAGCGGGCACTGGGTCATCAGGCATTGGATCGTCTGGCTCGACAGCGGGCATCGGGTCACCAGGCATGATAGCGGGCACCGGGTCATCAGGTGCCGGATCGTCTGGATCGACAGCGGGCACCGGGTCATCTGGCGTTGGATCGTCTGGCTCGACAGCGGGCATCGGGTCACCAGGCATGACAGCGGGCACTGGGTCATCAGGTACCGGATCATCTGGATCGACAGCGGGCATCGGGTCACCAGGTATGACAGCGGGCACCGGGTCATCAGGTACCGGATCATCTGGCTCGACAGCGGGCATCAGGTCACCAGGTATGACAGCGGGCACTGGGTCATCAGGTGTGATAGGATCATCAGGCTGGATCAGTTCATCAGGCTGGGTACAGACATCAGGCTGGGTAGAGACATCAGGCTGAAGTGCGGGTGCCGAGGCACCAGGCTGAACCACGGAAGGCAGGTTCTCAGACGGCAGGCTCACCGGTTTGGATACTGGCAGGATGTTACTGGTTGGAAAGAATTTTCGCTTTTTTCTGGTTTTAACTACTGGAGCACTGCAAGTAAACGCAGGTCTGCAAACGAATGGAGCAGCTGAGGACAGAGAAGAGCTGGAAGATGGAACAGAGGAGGGAGCAGCCGCCACAGAGGACCTCTCCACAGGGCCAAAGAAAGGATAGGTGTAGCGAGTGAGAGCAGGGGACTGGTATGTGGTAGTTAGCAGAGTATACTGGGCCGTCACTGGGGGTGCTGTCGGGGATGCAGGAAGAGTGCCTTGAGCAGAGGAATGACGTTGCAAGCTGACTGAGGCTGGGTGCAACAAGTCTGACCATGTCTGCAGTATGGGTTGAACAAAGCTGAGCTTACACAAAGCCTGTCTGGTCAAAGACTGCACTGCGTTTATACAATCCCTTAATACCTGTGGTGAACATGCAGCATAATGCTCCAAGAAGCAATCCACATCATCCTCTAATAACCATACCAGGGACTCTACCTGGTCTGCACTAAATGGTGGCAAAAAGTCATTCCTGCTTTCAGGGGTACCAGATGAAGCCAACTCTACACAAACCTGAATCAAAGGTTGCACCTCAGAGAACTCTGTGCCCTGATCTACTAGAACATGGGCGATCCGTATACATTCTAGCAGTTGATCCCGGGTATACACCCTCAGAGTTTGATAAGCATATTCTCTGTCATCAAAAACCAGCAGCGACAAATACACAACCTCATCAAGATCCATCCTTCCCAGCAACAAGCCAAGATGGCTTCCCTGTGCAGCCACTTCTGGTCAGGATTGGCCTTGGTGTAATGTCAGGGCTCCGGGTATGACCAGAGGTATGTGAACTGACGCAGGGAAACGCAGGCTTCAGATATGTTATAAACAATATAATTTATTAATACTAACAATACAAACGCGGTGCAATACTAAAACATAAAACACAGTGCAAACGAACCAAACCAAACCACCCACAGATAACAATACATACAATGCAAGCGTAGTCAGGCAGGCCTGGGTCAATAACAATCGGGCAGGTAGGAACAGGAGGAGCAGGCAGAGAGTAGTCATGTCACGAGCCGGGTACAGCAACTAACGGGCAGGTAGGTACAGGGGGTCAGGCAGAGAATGGTCGGGGTCACAAGCCAGGGATCAAACAGGAGAAGTCAGCAGAGGTCAGGATCAGGCAGGGTCGGCAACGAGTCAGTCAGGCAGGAACAGGAACGCAGGTAACAAGATACAGGGACCCATAGAAAAACACACACCAAGGCACAGACTGCAGGTCTGGCCATCCCTTAAATACACCTGCATAATCAGCTTCAGGTGTTTGGCTGACTGCAGGGTTGAGTCTCTGATTGCTGAGAGCACCCGCTGGCCAGCCCTGGTCCTGCAGCCCACAAGGCAGGTGAGTCCCACCATTACTGGCAAGTCCATTCCTGACACCTGCTTCCTAAAATTGGAAGTGACTAAATCCTCATTGCTTTTGGTTTCTGGGGTCACAGAAAGGGAGGAACAGCGTCAGTTCCTCTCTCTCTGTTTACTGACGTAGATGCCACTGGTCGATGCAGTCCGGTGCTCCTCGATGGGATGGGAGAGTCAGGGAAAGGCAGCAGTAGTGGTGGGAGGGAGGGGTACCCCCTTCCACCACCTGTAGAAGTGTTCAAGTGGCTGCATACCCACTTGAATCACTTCTACAGAAAACAGCATAGCTGGCTGTAAAGTTTTATACTGGGATGATGCCTGTAGCTTCATATCATATGGGAAGTGGTTAAAAAGGAAGTCAATTCAAATGTTTTGCTTTAGCTTTGGATAGATTGGGAAAATCTTGGCATCTCAAATGCTTATTGCTCTGTCCTGGCTGAGAACACTTCCCTTCTTACTTCTTGATGTGGTATAGGAAATGAAGAGAACCCCACTAGGGCCAAAGACAGCAAAGAGAACCTGACAGAGATTTTACCTCTTCTCCTCCAATGAAAAACTAGATAGAAAACTTTTTCATGCAATGGTTCCTGGGGATCTAGGAGACCCTATAATTATTTTCCTGGGGGGGCGAAATAAATATAAAATATGCCTTTGCTATTCCCAGCTCCAACCTCACCTTTCCAATGTATTTTACAGATATAATAAAGTGAACGTATAACGGCCATTGCTTGATTTTGTCTTACTTTTTGAAAGTTATTATTATTTTTTTATATATTATTTACAATAAACAGTTCATACAGGGTGCACCATTATGAAAAGAACAAGAGCCAAAACTGACTACATGCTTGAAGACAATAAGATTTGTCTGACAGCAAGCAGAATGTAAAGTTGTTTCATGGAATCGTTTACATCATGCTGTATTCACTATTTGCAGCCCACAGGCAGTGGCAAGTTATGTAAGACATCTATTTATATAAAAAATTTACAAAAAAACAAACTTTATCTTTGACCCTGCCAGACGCAAGGAGTTTGGATATATCTTCATTATCCAGTGTGTGTGTAATCTTCCTTACTAATCAAGTCTACATCGTAATAGTAGCAGTAATCTGACCCTTCAAAATGTCGGCACTCTTCCTTTCAGCTTGCCATCTGTTGGCAATGGTGACCAAGAATTATACATCTCTGATATTAGGTCAATTAAAAACACATTTTATTTTAGTCCTGAACAAAGTAAAGAAAGTATTTATAAAAAAAACCTATACATTTCATTTATTTATTTGTGCATGTTTCAAAGTCTGCTTATTTAGTGCTTCAGTTGAAATGTAGAAATAAAGGAAAATGACAGTAAGTGTAGCAGGAATGAGAGGTGGCGCTGAACTTATATAAAGTAGATGATCTGCTAACAACATTCCAGTAAAAACCCCTAAACTTTCATGAACATGTGGATTTTTAGAAGTTTTTTTTCAATGTTTGTGAATTTGCTTATAATAAAAAAATACAACATACATATAATTTTAGTATGCGAAACAGTTTAGAAAATATTGACAAACACTAAAGATCAACAATATAAGAAGGAAATAAATGGTGCTACCCAATAATGTATTTAGGTTTTGTGCTGCCGTAGGCAACACAAAAATTGTCTGCCCCCATGGACACTGACCATCACCACCCCCCTCTTCCCCCTCCCACGGGGAGCGCCTGACATTGCTGACATTGACCAACAACACACCTGCCCCCCACCCGGGAGAGCCTTCCACTACACCCCAGCAATAGAGAAAAAGACACTCATCTTCACAGCTCCGGACATCCCCAGGAACGAGAATCAGGCTCCACGTACACCATCAAGTAGTTTGCAGCCTCTCTCAGATCCCACCTGGTTCCCATAGCGCTCATGTCCTTTCTTTCATTCCTTCTTCTGGGGGGAGGTGCTGCTCCCCTGAAAACTGCCATCCTAGGCAAGTGCCTTGTTTGCCCTTTGGTAAATACGCCCTTGGTGGTACCATCCATTGATCCACCAGTAGAGCTCACGGGTGCACAATCTTCATATGAAAGCAATATATCCATGTAATTGATCCGAACAGCCGTTGTTGCTTATAAAATCTTGAGATTCATTAAAAAAACAGTGTACAGTACGTAAAAGTACAATTCAGTTGATGCATTTCAGCCTACATGTTTTTTATTCATCCCTAGTTATGAAATATAGGCTGTGCGGATCCACTACATGGATACAAACACTAAAAATACAAATTCTGGTCAAATTGCCCCCTGGTCATGGAGGAGCTGAAGTGAACCTGTCACTACAGAATTCATTTTACTCAGTAAACACCCAGTAAAAGAAGAGTGAATATACTTACCTTTCTTGCAGATCATTTGTTGACATGCCTCAGCTTCAATTCTTCCTGGCTGTACCATGCATTCCAGACTTCTACATGTTTGGAATACCTGCTCCCCTGCTGATTGATGTGGATTCTCCTGCTTCTTTGTTACTATAGGATGGACTACAGAATACGAGAAATTAGAGTGTGCAGACGTTACAGGAAAAAGACCCACCCAACTGGTTGGAAAACTGCTGTGGCTGTTGGAGAAATGAAACAACAGTGTTTCAACCCATGGCCTGCCAGATAGATAAGTATATTCCTTCTTTTTTTCTACAGGATGTTCATTGAGTAAGGAGTAGTTTACACCAGTATTAGCCCGCTGAGGAGTGCTCTGGTCTTTTTACTGCCCCTTCCAAAAAGAAAGCACAAATGAGCCCCTTATGTAACACTTTGTCATTAGGGTCACTTTAAGCACCTGAATGGCCCTTCTTTTCTATGACTAGGAAAACAACAGACACCCATTACTTACTCTTAGACGTCAGATTGTTTATTTTTTCAAGCTGTAACCTTAACAGTAGGATTAAAGTTTATGTATAGCCAAAACTTGTCTTTTTATTTTGCATATGGTAGGTAAGGGTTAGAACCCTTGTCACATTTGTTATTGCTGTCTGTATCTCCACTGGGGAGATCCATCTTTTTTATTGTCCTTGTGACAATTGCTAATGAAAAAAAAGGCGATGATGAACCCAAAATGGTGGTGTTCTCACCAGAACGAGAGGGGAAAATCTGGAGATACTTGTTGGGACAACTGTCTAAAGGGGAATTCCTCCCACGATTGAGTGTACATTGCTGGCCTTATGTTTTTTAGGTCTCTCTGTTTTCTATCCTTGCATAATCCAATATGTAACTCTAACTTTGTTTTCTTCCCTTCATGTTTTTCTGCATGTCAAATCTAGGCATACAATGAATGCCTATAGTATAAGCTCATCCCATTAAGGTGCCTTTTACATCAAGACAAATGTTTCCTACTCATAGAAGATAAACATAGGAATGTGGTAGATAAATCCTATGACGAGCTACAGGTGTATGTTTATGAGAAATGTAATGGCAAGAACAATGTAATTGTTCACTGTTTGTTGTTATAGTATATTATACACCCTATTTAAGGTACCTGCTTGGGAAGATCTAGGACATTTTTGACAGCTGTGAC